CTACTCCTACTGATACAACTTAGCATATATTTGGTAGTCATCGAACTTTTGCTGCCTTATGATGAACGGTACAATATCTAAGAGAAGTTGTAGAAAAGAACTGTAGAATAAAAATAAAACAGAACTAAAAATCGAATTCAATGACGAAGACGACGACTTAAAGTGCAATGAAAAGTCATCGATTTCTTTCGGAAAAGGATTCATTGAACCAAAAATAACAGAATAATGAAAAGAATCCGAACTACCGAAAACAGCAAAAAAAATGGAAGAAAATCTATAGAGTAAAAAAACAAAAAAAAAATTTAAAAAAATTGTAAATTTTTTTTTTTTTTTTTGCTTTTAGAAAAAAATAACGAAGATTTCCTTTAACAAAAATTTTCTATTCATTTTTATTCTTTTCTCTCTTTTTCAGATAAATCTCCTTGAAAAGTGCAAAGGATTTAAATTTATCAATAATAATAAAAAAAAAGAGAAAATTTGTGAGAAACGAAGAAGAAAACAAAAAACAAACAACGCAATTTAAATGCAAAAATAAAAATACACAAAAGATTTACTTTTAAAGAGTTATTGAGAGCAACTTAAGAACAAGTCCTTCAAACGGAATTAGTTTAAATCCTTAAATTGAGATTTAAAATAATTTTTTTTTTCTTATTTTTCCAGTTCTGAATTTCCTTTATTATAATTTTAATTGATTGTGTATAGCTAGTCAGAATTTTTTTTTTTTGTAAGAGAGAAGTAAAGGGAAGAACCTTCATCACAGGTTAAAAGAAGAAATTGAATCTTAAAAAAAGTTTTCTCGGATAACAACAATTTTTGTGTGGATGTTGAAAACTTAAAAAGTTTCTTTTTAATAAAATTAAAAAAAAAAGAAAAAAAAAATAAAAATAAAATTGATTTTGTGGCTAAATCTTAGAATTATTGTTGAATATTGAATGAAGGATGAATGAATATTCAAGTTGATTTTCTAAATTATTTAATTTACAAATGAATTTTAAAGTTATAAATAATAAAAAGGTTTGAGGTAAGATTCTTTGGAAAATTTTAATAAAAACTACTTTTCTTTCAAAAATACTGAGTGTAAGATAAAGTGAGAAAAATTTTTAAGAAGCACCTCTATTAGTTTTCAAATATGTTTAAAAAAGTTATTGTAAAGCGATATAAATATTGAAAATCATACTATTTTGAAGACGATCTTTAAATATTTGTAAATTAGCTGTTTACAACAGCTGGAATAACAGGGTACTGCGACCTCTTTTAAGGTACAAGACTACATAGAGCCCATTCGAAATTCATCTTTCTAATGAACGCGAGCACCTTATGGGGCTCAGAAAACCGTAACTACGGCCCTGAAAGAGCAAAGATCTCCAGTACTCCCCGTCTCCTACGAAACGAGAACATCACATTCTACCAGAATGTGTACTGGCATCTCCTCACCTTCCCCATAGAGTCTGCGAGTGTTTTCATTATCGAGATCCAGTCTACCGAGTTGCCTTATTACGTTTGCAATTCCCCGACAAGACAGAGAAAATTCCCACCTGATTTCTTACCTACAATCTTCTTCTCGGGTCACTTACTTCTACACTCACAATTTCGGAATACTAAGCATATTTGTTTGTTTATAACAATAATTTTTTTTTAAATTAATTTTATGAAAAATATTGTAAAAGTTCAATAGGTTGACAAACAAAAAAAAAGCAACGAATATCGAAAACCCAGAACAAATTATCCTATAGCCAACCCAATGAACCACGTCAAGTTTTTGAAAAAACAAACCATAAAAATTAATTTCTTTTAACTGTAAATTTACGTTATTTTTTATTCTTATTATAATTTTTTTGCTTATTCCTCATTTATTTATAAATTGATCGTATATAGTGGCGGTGATAGTGGTGGCAGTGGTGGTTGTGCGGTATAGTTGATTTTATTCGTCCCTTTCCTTCAAAAACAATAAAACTTCTTTATAAACATGCAATAAAAAACATTTATTTTACTTTTTTTAGTTTTTACTTTTATTTTAACTTTTTTTTTTTTTAAAAATAATTTTTCAATTTTATTTTTTAGTGATTATATACAGTTCTTCCTTTTGAATACAGGATAATTTAAAGGGCGTTTACATATAACATAAATTTAAAAAGAACAAAATAACAACAAGACAACAATCAACAAGAAGCAGTTACACAAACAACAATATAACAACGACAGTTAAATATAACAGTTCGGGATTAATTTGGATTAAGAATATGAAACAGCTATAAAAACAAATCACATAAATTTATTCTAATTTATTATGCCACATTATATAAATTTTGTATAGCATCACTAACATATGAATGGGATATAAAATTTATACATACAAAGGACATAAGTTAAAATTTGGCAACTAATAATTATTTGGACCATTAATATGTCAATTTTTGATCATTTATTATTGCATACTCGCATACGGTATACGAACGTTATATGTGTGTGCATGTGAACTGAATATGTGTCTATGTTATTTTAAAATAAATTATAATGTGTGGCATAAAATATTATTAAATAAATGTGAAAAAATAAAAAATTTTCTTTATTACCATTATAAATACAATTGCAAAATATCCTTTAAAATATTGTTGAATTGTAAATCATTTAAGAAGATTTTTTTTTTGGCATAAAAACTTTTTCATTTGCCTAATAATATTCTTTTGTTCATAAAAACTTATCGTTTATATTTTGAAATTTATGAGATTATTTAGAAGATTATCAATAGCAAGTGAATGTTAAATTGACCTTCAAATTTTTAACAAAATGAGATTTTAAATATAATATAAAGTTTTTTGGGTATACTTGAGTTCGGTAAAATTAAAAAATTTTTAAAAAATTTTTATAGTTTCTAATATTTTATTTATTTCAAGATTCTAGAATAAAATCCAATTAGTGAATTTCTTTAATACAAAATCAATTCAATTTTTAATAAGTAACGAAGTAGGTTAGAAATAAGGAAAATAATGTTAATTTCGGCGTTACAGAGAAGTCCTTTTAGACCAAACTACATCAGAAATCCCTCTACAAAGGTTCTTAAACAAAGCATTAAAAAATCTGTAAAAATATAAGATAAAAACTTCAACTATAAAGATTCACATGCAACAATACATATATTCTGACATGGGAACTTCTTATAAAATGTAGGCTGGTAGCGCAAATATATTTCAAATAAAATCAACGTCAACACTAATATTGTACGCAATAATGAAGTGCATGGCTAAACCTAACTAGGGAGTGCTACAAATATCAAAATTAGTTCTTCTACGGTAAAATTTAATGGGTTCGAATTTCTAATAACTGAAGTATCTGAATTATTACTTGTTGTTAATTATTTACTTTGCACTATTTTAAAATATATTTTTATTAATTAAATTACTAACTAATTAAACTATATACTCTGTACAAGCGACTGGGCTCATTTGACATAAATTTGAAATAAAATCAACAAACTCTGAAAATATAAACCTGTTTGAGCTGTAGGTGTAAAATGCAGTCACGTTGAATTAATTTGCGTAGCAACGCAGTGAAATTTTTTATTTACTTCGATATTATTATTTAAAATGCCAAAAATTTTGAGGTCTTTATTGAATCAATAAAAACTATTAATCTAATAAAACTAAATTATGCACCAAAAAAAAAAACGGATTACAATATCATACAAAGATTTTACCAAGGTCATAAAGTTTTCGCACTAATAATGTGTGATTAGTAAAAACAAAATGAAAATGATGAGAAAAAGAGTTGCAAATTACGTTTCCATTAAGCATTAACTAACAAAACCAAGCTTCTAATAAAAATTCTCATAATTTTCCTTTAATACATCGGAATATTCAAGGATTTTTATAAAATATTTGTGTATCGGAAAATATTCTTATTCTTATTTCGTTTAAGACTTTGCAAGAACGTATGAGACATTGTATGTGAAATGAACCGCCATTAAAAGTTGTATTTGAACAAAATGACGGAAATAGTTGTATAGCAGTTGAAAACTTTTCACAAAATTTATACGGAAACCACTAGAAAACCGGAAGGAGTCTTTAAAAACTTTTATTAAAACTTAATGATTTTCCTTTATCATAAAATTAAAATGTATAGTAAGAGTATACCGTAAATTGGTCATTGTTAATTATATAAATGAAAAATTCTCATTTTATAATGGAAGTATATTGTCAAAGAATAGGAAATTTGCTCTATTTTACTTTGTTTGCGACAATTGAAACTCGACTGAAAGTCGAAACAAAGAAAATGAGTGAAACAGAGAGAGTTGTGAATTTTTAAATGATGTTGTTAAGAGCGAAGTTATAACATAAAAATATCGTAAAACTCTCTTTAATATTTTTTCTCACTTTTAGATGACAAATTGAAATTAATAATAAATTTTAATTTAGATTATTATGTCTTAAGAAACTTAAGCCAAATTAATGCCATCATTAAAATTTTAAATATACATTTTTGTAGATGACGATTTTTCTGTATCTACTAATAACAGAAAATTCCCGCATTTCAATTTAGATTTCTAAATTTAAGTAGAAAAATCCTCTTAAAAAATATTATTTAAAATTTTCCTCCTATTAAAAGCAATTTACAAGGAAACGAATTAATACATACGAATGACTTTTTTTCTGGCGTGTATGTCCTTTTCTTTGCACTTGAGCCACCTTTTTCTTCGTACACATTTAAATTGGTTTGTGTAATTTTTGAAAATAAGCACAAAATAATGAATTTAAGATTTGATTGAAAATATAATTTTCATTTATATTTATTATATTGAGCATGATGAGCGTTGAGCAATTGGGATTGCTCAATTGCAATTGGGAGCATTATTGTTTTTAAACCAAAGCATGTGTTTGTTTTTGATTTATTTTATTTTAGTTCAAATTTAAATTCTGACACAATTTTTTTTTATTATAAATAATTCTTAGTACTCAAATTAAAATTTTCGGAATTAACAAAAATCAAATTTTTAAAATTTTATTATGTCAGCTTATGCTCAAAAATATAAATTTTGGGTTGCTACCAAAGAGCAACTTGAAAATGTTATCATTAAACAAAAAATTTTACAAAATTCAGAACCGATTGATGATCGTTCTACAGCTCATAGCATTCATGCTGATATGTACTGTGATTATGTAGATTTAGTCAATAAATTGGATTATATTTATCATAGAACATTTCAAGTGCAAAAACGTGAACTTTTGCAACGTTTATTAGAGGCAGCAACATCAAGATTATGTGAATTACGTAACGAATTGAAAGAAATAGAATTAAGTGAATATATTTATATTGATAAAACGCTTGTTCAACGTAAACTCACATACGATGTGATTCAATTAATACGACCAGACTTTTTGCCATTTGTACGTGATAAAGAAATTTATGATTTAGTAAGGAATAGTCGTCAAAAATCTGAAAATAAATTTAGATTAAGTGATGAAGATGGAAAAACAGTTAAATCAGAGGAACAGCTTTTAAATGATGCAAGTTTATTAATTCAAGCTCATGAAAGTTTACGGGTAAGCAGAATATTGCAAACAAACATTAAATACGACAGAAAAGAAGATTTAACAAAAATAGATGTCAGCATGTTGGACGACAATAAATATGAGTTCACACATAGGCCAGATCAAAAAATGTTATTTCCACTTCGAAAAATCAATTTTGACAATCAATACTTTAGAAAGGTTGAGAAACGCGAACAATTTGAATATTATGTAAAACCAAAACATAAAAAAATTTTTGAAGAAAAAATAAATTTTGAAAGTGCCCCTGGTGATGGAGTTTCGGTTGATTTATCCAAAAGGCAAGAAAAGTTTACTGAAATAAAAGTTTTCAATACAGAAAAAATACAAAATGAACATTGTATTATACTTAAGCATCGAAATCTTAACAAGAGAATTATAATTTGTTCCTTCTTTTCCAGTATCAATACTAACATCAATAAATGTCGAAGAAACAAAAGAGAATGCCGCAAGAATAATTCAGAGAGCATGGATATCATTTTTAGCTAAAAAATCATATCAAAAACAACAAGAAAAGCGTGCCATAATCTATGGAATCATATCAGAACGAAAACCCACAAAAAACCCACTAGAGAATATACTACATAAAAGTTATGAGTTCAAAACAATAAGGGACCAATATGTTTTGGAATTTGTTAAAGCCGTTGAAAATGAAAGGTCAAGAGTACTTGTAAAGCGTAAAGATAGTATAATGGAGGATATTTCAGACCATATACGGCATTGGATTCATGATTTTTATGAAAAAACCCATGAATTACCACCATTTCCATCTGAGTTGAAAGGTGGAACAATTTTAGTTTTACAGGATCAGGTTATTTCCCCGGAAGAATTCAATGAAAAGAAAACTAAAACAAAGGAACAATTGGCCGCTGAAGTGAAAAAAATCCGAAATGAAGATAAAAAACAAAAACAAAAATTGAAAGAGAAAATCAAACAACAAGAAATGCAAGAGAAAATTTTATTGAAAAAAATTGCTGAAGAAGGCAAGGTTTATTATAACTTTGGTAAAATTTTCACCGGCAACAAACTAAAAGTTCTTGAATATGGGCTTAATGAAATCAATGACAAATGGCATTATGATGTCAACGAAAAATTAAATTATAAAGAAGACCCATTTATGACTTGGATAAGTGAGGAAAAATTCGCTGAAATTCATATGGAATTGAGGAAAATTGTGGATCAAACTATGAGGTCTGCTATTAACTCATACAATATTATAGGGAATAATTAAAAATTTGGCGTATTTTTAATAAGCACTGGTTTATTTACTTTGATTTAAGTCATTTGTTATTAGAATATTGGAAAAATCTTAAATCAATTCTTTTAAAATTTTTAGTTTGCCAAATTTTCTATAAAATTTTACATTTTAGATTGGAGTACGAAACTCTGCGAAAAGCAATCGCAATTGATCGAAAAAAAAAATATAAACCTCCTAAGCAAACAAACCCTAAAAAACCGAAACGTCGCAAAACCATAAAAGTAGAAATTGACCCAACAGAAAATTTGTCAGTTCAAGAGCTTTTTTATCAAATGGAAAGCTCTGGTCTCATCCGGAATTATAAGAAGAGATGTTTTGAAGAATTTTTTGGTGATTTTAATTATTGCGCTTATCATTTGAAAAATCTACTTGGCTTGTAATTTTTACAATTATTTTTCTGTAAAGTTAATAAATTGCTCTCTTAAAATTTAAGAGAAGCTATGCCTTCAACTTTAGAAGTTCGTGATATTTTAAGAGAATTCATATTAGGAATGGGTCCGTTAAATATACCTAAATATAAATCAATTTTAATTGGTGGACCACCTAAAAGTGGAAAAGTTCAATTATGTGAAATATTAGCTTCCGAAATTGGTATGATTAGCAAAATTTTATATTACTTATGACACGTTCCAATAATATCTTTTACTTTCAGATGCGGTTATGATTGATTTATCAATTGAAAATGTTTCCAAATATGAAAATGATATTGATATGCTCATACATTTAGTTCAAAAAATGTCACGTATTTTACAACCAACGATAATTTTTATTGAAAATGTTCATAGGACATTTTGCAAGAAAATTCCACCTGAATTCGAACATCTAAGTCCATTAATTTTATCAAAATATTTAAAAAATAAAATTATAAAAAATATTAAACAAACTGATAAAATTATAATTTTAGCAACTTCTGATGAACCTTGGACTGCTTCAAGAAAAATGAATAAAATATTTGATAAAATTTTATTAATGCCTAAAACTGATTATTCATCAGCATACCAATTATGGCGAAAATTTATATTACAAAATTCAGGTGTTCCAAGAAATTTGGAATTTTCACCAATTGCTTGGGTTTTACGGGACTATACAAGTGGTGAAATAGCTGATAATGTTAATGAAACATTAAATATTAATCGAAGAATGAAATTAATAAGGAAACCATTGAAACTTGAAGAATTTTTAGAAACATTTTTACAGGAGAATAAATTTCCTGCTAAGGAAGATGTAAGGTTTTTTCTGATTTTCATTTTCAATTTCTAAATTATTTCAATTATTAAATTTTAGGTGTATAAGAAATATTACAAATGGTATGAGAAAGCAAATAAATTAGAAAGGAAACGTAAACAAGTTGCTAAAATATTGAAATAGAGTGAAAAAAAATAGCTAAACGGCATGAGAGTTAGAACACTATTTTGAAACGCTCTCCCTATAACGTTTTTTCATTAAGTTTAAATTGTGTGCCAAACCACTGAGGTGAACTTATCATCTCGAAACTATAAAGGTAGCCTGTACCAACTTCTTAAATATGATAAACTAACTCCATCTCACATGCTTAATATTCTTGGGTTTCACATACTTAATTTACAAATCGGCTTTAATTGTATTTTTAAATCGGAACTTTTTTACATTATCTATTTTAATAAATTTCATATTTTGTTTATAGAAGATTTTTCCTTTGATCTTTTAATGGAGTCTAAATTTTTGTGTTCTACCAAATTTCAAAGTGAATTTTCTGTACAAATATAGATGCGTTTCATTGGATGAAAATGTGCTATGGAAATTGTCATGTTGTCCTTCTTGGTAGTTTTATACTTGCCGTTTGTTTTAAGCGTCGGAGCGGCAATTCTCTGGCTCTCACTGCGACCACTTAATTCTTACATAATCGAAATAGAATCTTTCTTATCTTGTATACTAATTTTTTTAATATTCAATTTAATTTAAACAAAAATATAAAATATCAGTTTTAATGCCTTGTAACTTCCAACTTAATTCAATTTTCCATATAAAAAAAAAGTAAACACAATTTTTCATTAATAACTAATTTTTCAGCATCTTCAGTTCTTGAATAATTTATAAAATTCCCTTTATTGCTACTATATAATTAAATTACAACAAAATCCTGGATTATTATTACGGTAAACAAATATATTTTTTTTTAGTTATTTGCATGACTTGTTATAAGCCAATCAATTTTAACGCATACCCACAAAATCGTAGCATGAAAAATGTATAGATATTTTTTTCCTTCTTATTTTAAATTGATAAATAAATTTTGATTCATTCAACAATTTTGAATATTTTGATTCTCATCTCATCATATTTATCCAAAAGAAAATATCATGTAGCTAAGATACATGGTATACGTTCACATTAGGGTAAATGAATTAAAAGGGATGAGTCACCAGAAAATTGGCAAATAAATAATGAAAAAAAATAAATATAAATTGTATCCCCATTGAGGCGTACACAAACCAAAAATTATAGGTTGTCCTTGTTGAGTTTTTTTTTACAACAATATTTTCATGACATTTCATGAAGAACATCCTTATATGCATATTCATGTCCGTAATTCAAATTGAATTCCCTAAATTTTATGTTCATTTTTTGGAATCTTACTTAAATGTACAGAAAATTTCCTTTTTTCGGATTTATTCAGCGACTAAGATGCTCTTAAAATTTTTAAGGAAAGGGCACTAAAATTGTAAAATAAAGCGCTTAATAAAATCAATTACGGTTTAGTCATTTATATAAGGATGCAACATACCATGCTTTATTGAATAAGTAACAAATTTGATAAAACTAACAAGAAATTTTGCGTTTTCATGTGCTACACAGTACGGTTCAGAAATTAAAATTCAATGGTGGTTACAGGCTTGTAAATACTAGATTAAAGATATTTTGCAAGACTTGTAGGTATTTTAGTTAGTTATGTACGAGTAGTTGACATTGTTTTAGAAATTTGTGATTGCTGCTCATTGTTAAAAAATTCTACTCTGAAATGCTAAAATGAAAAAAAAAAATACATAGAGATTCTTCTAAATTCCCAACAAATGTAGTTTCCCTGTAATAGCCTATAAATATGCAACATAATTTGATCATTTCCAAACAAATATCCAATCACACAAATCAAACATTTTTTAAGCAATTTTTTGTATAAAAATTTTTTGTCCAACTCTTGTAATAAAATTAAATTTACTTCTGAAATAAAGAACGAAATAAGGCATAAATCTGAAGTTTTCTAAGACTATTCATTAAAAACACAACGTGCAACAACAAATATAATATAATTTAATAAATGAAAATAAAATTTCGATGTTTATAGCTAATTTCTTTAAAACAAAAAAAAATCTTTTTAAATTAAATGAACAAAAATTTGTCTACCAAATCAAAAACCCATGCCTGTTATCAAAAATTTTATTTTGAAATAAATTTTTTATTTTATATTAATATAAAAATAAATATAAATATTTTAATCATTTCATGGTTCGGGAAGAACTTGTTATGGCATTTTTTATACTGAAAATGGTAGAAAGGATCGACCCATAAAAAGTGAAAGATCTCGAAACCTAACATCCCCCCAAAGTTTACGAATCCACTCCATAGTCAGTAAATTTATAAAAAACAATTTTCATCAAAATCGGTTCAGTAGAACTTGAAACACACGACAGATCGAATACTGCCGAAAAATAGATTATTTACGTTTGCTTACCATGGAGAAGTGAGCTTCCAGCGAAAACTCAATCTGCGAAATTTGACGTAATCACATAAAAGCCAGTGTTGTTGTATGCAATGCGATCGGTAAATAGACGAATTTATTGTAATTTACTTCACGTTTCTATAAAATCTTGTGTGATAGGAGGGCGGGATCCGATGGGGCTATCTAATACGGTTGTACGAATTCGAATCAACATAAAATGACTGGAGAAATTTCTTGTTTTTCTGCCCTCTTTTCCGATTTACATATTTGAATTTCAATATTATAGATTTCCTGGTTGAAAAGCGTTTTCTTTTTTACACCAAAATTTCCTTTTACCTGTCGTCTTTTTAGAGTTTAACACTATTTTTATGCTTTATTTTATGTACAAGAAGTACATAATCAATGACATAGTCAATGACTCCAGAACAATGTGTCTATGGAGAAAGTGTTTTTGTCAATTCAAAAGTATTTCAAAAGAGCGAAATTGTGTAGTACACCTTGGATTAGTGGAAAAAATTGTGGTTTACCCTGGCTTAGTGGAAAAAAGTATGGTACAGCTTGGATTAGTGGTAAAAAAGTGTGGTACACCTTGGATTAGTGGTGAAAAAGTGTGGTACACCTTGGGTTAGTGGAAAAATTGTAGTACACATTTGATTACTGCAACAAATTTATTCTTCAATCACTGTTACCCTTTCAAATAAACATGACATCACTATTTAAGATTCAAACAAATTTCGTTCAAAATTCTTATAACACTTCAAACTAATAACCAAACTCTTGTTTATCCATTATTTTTTCAATTCATTCAATTCTTAATTATTAATTTTAAAAACAAATTCTTATTTTTATTTCCAATACTAGGAAAACAAAAATTCATAATTAACCCAGAAATATTTCTAAAATGAAAAAATATTTATTTATAATCCTTTAATGGATTTCTAGCACCACATCGAAACAAAAACAAAAAATCCACTTTTTAATAACACCGTGAAATAAAAGTATCACGTGACTGAATTGTTATCTTATATCTTACCGAATTGAAAAAAGAAAAAATTATTTTATTAATTTCATTTTGTCGATTGTGTTACAATAAAGTGCAAGTGAATACCACGACGCACCGGGTTATCACCCTCTTCTTAATATTAATTAATATTCCATCTGTTATAATTTTCATTATTTCCTATTATAAAACAATAATAAAAATATGGTTGACTCTTTAACAAGAAAATAAAAGTAACTTATCTTTCATAAAGATTTAGTCAAGCTTAATTACCAATAATAATATATTTAACCCTTTTTAAGTGATATTTATTATATCTATGTATAATTTTTGGAGACATTTAAATTTCTTGTGTTTTTAAGGTACTTATGTCAAATTTATTTTTAGAGACATTTTTAAAATGTGCATATTTAGATATCATAGATATTTTAGAAAATTTTATGCATTAATTGAAAATTTAAATAAAAGTATGAATGGATGTATAAGTAGAATTAAGAACAAAACCAAATATTTTTCGACGATTTGTTTTTTTTTTTAATCCTTTTCGAAGTTATACTCTGATGAATATGAAATTTGCATATGTTTCTTTTTTGAAGTATGTGGTTGGTATAGTAAATTTATTATAACATTCATACCACCTATTTAAGTTCCTACTTTTTATAATATGGAAAAGTATTCAGCCATGGAATTATAAAATTGGTCCGGCGTCGATGTCCAGAAAAAGATACAGGTCTTCATTAATAAATGTCTCAAAATTATATGAAAAATAATTGTGACCACGAAGAATTATAAACCAGGAGCTATGGGGTAATGACGAGACAGGACCCAAAAGAAATTTAAATATGAAGAAGAAAATGGAAATGAATTAGTCAAAATCTTAAAAACATCCAGTAACACCAGTAACACATCAAATTCTGGAATGGAAATCTCAAGGCCGAACAAATGTGGGGAGACCGAAGGAGACATAGCGAAGAAAAGTGCAAAAAGAATTGAAGTTAATCAATAAAATATGAACAGAAAAAAAGAGAAAGTTGAAGAGGCTTGTTAAAGCCCCATTTTATATATATATTATACTTTCTCTCTCTTCCTTCTCACACTCTCTCACATTTCTTTATTCTGAAAATGGTTCCAAATACACGAGAAAAGAGACATGTAATTTTTGTACCGAGTATTAGACCTTAAAAATTTAGTTCAACTATCCAATTTTTTGATCTTCTTTTAAATACTTAAAATTTAAAGTAGTGCAAGCAACAAAAATATTTTTATGCTTTTTTTTTTGATTTTTTTCTGTTTTCATTTTAACCTTAACATGGAAATCCTTATTCAAGGATAATAATTATATTTATTTGTTCACCCATTGTTTTTTTTTTCGAAATATTTTATCTTGATAATAAAGCATTTATTTAAATTTTTTAGAGATCATATCCTTGCAACACAGAACAAAAAACAAATCACATCACCGAAATGTGGTATTTTTTTTACATACACAAAAACAAAAAAAAAAAATTGAAATTATTTTTATGATAATATCAAAAAATATTCTAGAATATTTTTATTTTTTTTTTAATTTTATTTATAAATTTGTTTACCAATATTTTATTACTTTGAATATACAAAAATATTAATAGATAAAAAAAAGACAAAACCTTCTTTTTTTTAAAATAAAATTCC